ACATACGAGTGACAATGGGTGAATAGGTTTTCACCGTGCATATGGCCAGCAGAGCCGAAGGGAAAGAATTTACCAATTAACTGTAATGGATAGCAGCAGGAATTCTATAATCGGCGCAACTCATACTACATGTAGCTAAACCAAGTTTGCTGAATATTTCAAATTCACCTTCAGTCCCGGTGAACTACGAACGTGACAACGAAGTGCGCTCTCCATATGCCTCATTGGGTGGTCTAGCGAGAGGCTCATTAAGACTACAACAAAAGGCAGATTAGATTGTCCTACGAAGCTGTGTGTTTACGCTGCAATAGTTTTGATCCACGCACTGTTTTTACAGCATAGGTAAGTGACCGTTGGTAAAATCAAACTTTTGTCCCGGAAGTGGAACGGAAATACTAAGCGATGGATTTTCAGTGAATGAATGTGGCCTTCAGCCGTCTTCCAAATATGGTTAATATACGTGTGAAAACGAGGAGTTCGTTCCAAGGATGCAGTGCACGAACAAGATAGAAATTCCTGCGGAAACCCACGCAGCTGCACTGTATTGATGGTTACAAGGTGTAGCCTCTGAAGGTTGGGGTTGTCACTGAGCTCCAACAGAGCATGATTTAGGCTGTGCAAGATTGTGTATGCTGTTAGTAGATTGTCCCCTAATCGACGATGTCGTGCACTAATACTCTCAGGGAATACGACCTTTATTAGTGCAAGATCGTACCTCAGGTCACGTTACAGCCACATTAATTATGTGTAGTCGATGAGTGCCAACATACTGCTAAATGCATTGTAGATTTACCAGCTATATTTTACAGGCTGGCTATCAACTAACGTTTGTCATACAATACAAACTTTCGGTCTCCGTTTGTTTGCCGGCCATGGAACGCTCTCTCCGACTACCAGGAAAAGGCATTAACGTTGCCAAAAGCCACTTAATTTGGGAAACGCAGCCATTGTAATGGAAGATGACGCAATAAATGATGCATCTAGCAGCATTTCGGCACACAATCGAGTAGAGTCTTGTAGACGCGCATCCAAATGGACACTATGCCGGGTCCATCAAGATGATTTTCATATTGACATTTTCTATTTGTGACCTTTACCATGTTCATCTAGTTTGACATGAGAAGAACTAGTATTTCTAACCAGAGCGCATTTCACATGTGCGTGTGGGTATACGAAGATAGAGTACTTGAAGCAGCGGTGTTTTTGCATCATAGCAGGCACTTGCGCAATACGTACAGATTCCAGTGATAGAAAGGAATGCTCTAGAGCTACTCCAGTTATGTGTTAGATAGATTTGATGCTACAGCGAAATAGCCACAACAAAACTCATCAGCCATTCATTTAGCTGTTGTATAAACCCTGACTTCCCCAGTACCACGAGACACACAAGGTACTTCTCCTCTTCATGGCTGTAGCCTCACACTGCGGCAATTTGAATTACGGTACATGGCCACGGCGAGGAATACTCGACTTCGGAAGCAGCATACCATGCCCCTGGTCAGACCCATGTCATAAAAGTCTCCCTTACAAGTGAAGTGTACAAACGGAGCCAAGGTAAAAGCTGTAGGGACAATTTCTACTTGGCGCTAATACAGATTAGGCGGCTAACCACCCCCCCCCCACCCCGTCCCCATAAGAGGACTGCCAGCATAATCATGTGGTCGCATGGGCCCTTAAGTGGCCGACGCGTTCACCGTCTGATAAAACTACTTGTCATGTTAGCCACTTGAGAAGGTGAAAGTAATATATTGTTTCATTCCCAAGCGTCTCTTGGAGAGAGCAATATTCCGAAAGGACACGAAAATCTACGTCATCGAATGGGTGGTGAAACAGAAGGAAGAAACCACTAAAAAACAGGAGAAAAAAACATGTGAAAAACAACTAACTCGAACTGCCTAAAATCTGAGCAACATTATAATTATCTGTGTGATAGAAAATTTGGAGGGGATGGAAAACAGGGGACGAAGGAGCGAATCGAAACCCACAAATGTAAAGGACGCGCAAAATAAAAAAATAAAAATAAACGAAGTCTGAGTTTAAAAAGTGCAAAAAAGAAACATATATTAACAAGATATACTGAATTCAGTAGTTTCATGTGTTCTCCTTAGCTGCTTACAAACAATTTGTGTTAAGGATAGGCTACATAACAAAGGCGATCAAGTGGCAATATTATCGGCGAAAATGTAAAGTGCACAAAAATCAGTGCGTCCACGTGACCCGGTCAGAGGAAAGATGACACTAGCCTCACCACGGTAGGGTGAGGCTGGTCAAGAAGTCCGTTTGTTTGCACAAACTTAGTTTCAACCGGCGAATCGCCGAGGCCTCAGCGAACTGAAGTAGACGGGGACTGCTTTCTTTGTTGATCAACTTAAACCCACCACGTGGGTTTTCGCACACAGGGTAATCAAGTACGTGGCGTGCAATAGAGCTATTGGGTCGTTTCGGGCCATTTGCGACCATGTACTGGGGACGTGCTCTGCAATCCTCGCTGACAGCCTTCTCTCAGTTCGGCAAACGTACTTGCTACCGCAAATACAGGTAAAAGAGACACACGAGGCGGTAACTTGAGAGTCCGGTCTGTCCAAGTTGGATATGTACAACATCCTCCTGACCTGGTGCAAGGTCACTAGCTCAGCCGCGTAATAGAAATCCTTGGTGGTCGCTGCTGCTCTCTTTTCCTCTTCTCTTCCCCGAGGTCTGAAGATAACAACAGAAATTTACCAAGGAGCTTACCTGGCCTGTGAGTCTGCAACCGAATGAGCCTACAAAGACAAAAGTGGATCATATCAGACCTCCAACACACTCACTCCCTTTCTGATCTACTAACACTGGTCAATTGGATCTGGATGCCTTATCCAGAGGATTGGATCAGCCATGGCCTGCCTACAAAAAGTGGCTTCTTAACAAATGATTACCACAACATACCTGAATCAATCCAGAATTACCTAATTTGTGGTCCCACCAGTCAAGCGTCCAATCAGTCGCTTATAGCTTGTCAGCAATCTCAGGTTGCTCAACGCAGCCTGAGCATCAACGCAATTATGACCCCCGTGGCACGAGCTGGGTGGTGCGGGTTTACCCTGTTCCAGCAAATGTTTATTGACAGTGCTCCAGGAGGTGGTGGGTTTTTGCCTGGCAAGCATTCTCCCTATAAAAGCCACTAATGTCTGTTTAACAGCACTGCGACGAGGCGGATGTGACTCGCCTCCAACTAAAGTCACGGCTCCATGATTACCCAACCAACCACACCCCACCACGGACGTCACTCAACCCTTCTCACACTATCCACATGATCAACCACAATTGCAGTGGCACATATTCGAACTCGAAAAACAGATAGACACATGGACTCCCACATACATGCATGAACTCACAGCTCCAATGTACATGGCCAATTTGCACCAGCTTTTTATACCTACCCCGACAGTTTGTGGTACCTTTAACATGATCATGCCTACACAGGCGTGTCTCGGATTGCCCGAGAATAACGAATTTATCTATTTGTCTATTTATTTAACTTGCAGGTTGGGAGGCAGTACGTGGACACACACATTTGATCCTTCGTTAGAATTCTGCTCTTTTTCGGTTCACTTGCACAGTCTAACAACTGTCTAGCACCGATCAACGAGGACACATGCGGCTGGTTTATAGCTAGCTTAGTAGGTTTGGCCAACCGGTATCTCGCTAGTGAAACGGAAAGAGCAGGATTCTAACGCAGGATCGCTGGGAATCCTTGATGCAGTTGTTACAAACTTAAAATCTGTTAATACTAAAACTTGATAAGGGATCAGGAATTGTAACATTGGAAAAACAAGGCAACATTTAGAAAGTGCAAGCTATTCTTGCGTACTCTAACCACTTTGTGCATGTTGTAGCAGGCCGCGAGAAAACCGAACAGATGAAGAAATTAATAGCCCGAGAATTAGAGAAGTTAATAAAGGCCGGATTGATTAATGCAAATACTATGACACAGCTGCGTCCTCAAGGATCATGGCTTTTTACATGTATGGCTTATCAACCCATAAATAAGACTTCCCCCTACGTCCAATCGTCTCAATGGTAGACGCACCGTACCAAAACTTGCCCGATGGTTAACGAAACTCATCGAGCCCATCCGGATGGTACTGTCAAGTTAGAGCATGATACACCTGAATTTGTCAACAATCTATGTAACTTAAACGTAAAACGGAAGCATTTGATCTCCTTTGATGTATGCTCGTTATTCATAAGTGTTCTTTTGGAAGAAACATTAGATATACTAGCCAAGCTTGCTGATGAAGTCGAGATCCCAGCGTCCCAACTCGTCACTACTCCGTTTATGCACGGAAGAGATTCAGTTCCGATTCAATGGAACCGTGTATTGACAAATCCACGGCGGGGCAATGGGAAGTCAATTAGACCCAATAGTGGCCGATATCTTTATGGGCCACTTGGAAAACACTGTACTACCTTCTTATATACAGCACATATACTTTTATGGCCGGTATAT